GTGGAGCTGAACATGCAGAAGCGAGCGGAGCTGGCCAGAGAGAGGGAGGAGCTGAACAGACTGGTGGAGGAGAGCAGAGTGAAGGACGAGGAGGAGAAGAGACGGTACGTCACCTGACATCCACACTTTCCCTGTTCATGTGCCAGAGTCACACTGACCCTGTCTGTGGCCCCCCCAGGCAGAGGAGGACCTGTGAGGCCTACCAGGCAGACCTCAGAGCCCAGATCAGGCACCGGCAGCAGCTCCGCAGCGAGGACAGAGCTCAGGCTCAGAGGGAGATTCAGCAGGGTCTGATCCTGCAGCAGCTCTACGACCAGAAGAAAGACGAGATCCTGTCCAGACCCACGTCTCACACTGTTGCCCCCCATCCGTTCAGGAGAGCACAGGGATCCAGGTCTGCCCCCCAGCACAGACTCACATAGTCCACCTGCACAGGGAAGAGTCCTCCTCACACAACCACCTGAATCTAAAGACAAATAAAAGTCTGTTTACACTGTGGTCTCTGTCTTCGTCTGCTCACTGACTGATGTGAACACGTCTCATTCCACTGGGTACGTTCGGTTTCAGGCTGAGGGCCCCACTAAGGCCTCTGTAGACAGTGTCTCCTCACTGTCCAGCTGTTTGAATCCAGGAGCTGAGTCTCCTCTCAGTGACTTTAATAAGCAGCAGTCAGTGCTGTGCCCCAGGTTTTGTCTCCCAGGCTACACACAGACTTCTCGTTGGAGTCCTATGTAGCCTGACCGGTCGACCTGCAGACACAACTCAGGGCTGAAAATTATTATTAGCACCTGTCACCTTCAACAGCATTTAGCTCGCGTTTCAGTGAATTCAGTGAGTAAACCAGGGTCAGAGCGTCCTAGTTTCCTCAGCACCAGACAGAAGGAGGCGTCTGTCTGTCCCCAGCTGCTCTGCCACCAACAGACTGATTATTGATCTATTGATCGGAGTGAACAGGTGGAAACATAAGGCCTGAGGACGTCTGACAGGTTGTTATTTACCAATCAGCCACATCATATATGTATTTTTATAAAAGCCCCACTGTGTCACCCGACCCCTGACACTTGACCTCACGCTGTACTCAGAGCTGAAAGGCAGCTGCCCCGAGTCCTCGGCCTGTTGACTAAACCAGTGTTTACTGAAGGAAGGGGCGGAGCCATGTTGCCTAAAGTCTGCGTGTTTGATTATGAAAGAATCACCCAGAAAGAACACAGTAATCCCTGGATCCCAGCAGGAGCGTGGCTGGCCTGATGTCGTTTCAGTGTGACTCGGTGCACGCTGTTTGTTTTCCCAGCTTCGTCCTGACTGAGCAGCGAGGCCTCGTCACTGCACCGACATACTGTACCTGGTACTGTGTGTATCAGCTGTAGGCGCTGATACTTCTCAGAGGAGGCGTTGACTCACAGAACATGTGAGGAAGCTGCTTCTCCTCTTAGTGTCTCTACATGTTAATTACAGGCCTGAGAACAGTTACAAAGCTCCAGACTCAGTCATGTTGTAAGGGAAACTGTTGCACAGCTATATCTACACACCAGCCAGCTGCTAGCACACCATCCTTACTTCATACCAGGATACGCCAACACCTCAGGCCAGTCGAACCTGACCGGCGAGCACCTGCAGCCCGTGGCCCAGAGGGAAATCCACCTGCACACCTTAAATCAAAGTGCTGTCAAACACCTGCATTGTGCCTGTGCACATTTTTCTGTCAGTTCATTTACATGCAGCATGTTGTTCAGAGAGAAGGGAGGTTTCTATAGCAGAGCATCACCTGAGGTCTCCCACCTCGTCCTGATGGGAACAGCTGGTCCGAGCCACACGTCACCACAGTCCATCCAACATCTGGCTCGTTCCAGTCTGATGTCACTGATGACTGCAGAAATGCTTCCACGTGCACAGCGTGGGGCTGAAAGCTTTCTGCCACTCCCGTGCACTTCTTTCTCTTCTGCCGCCTCCACAGCAGTGGCAAGTTGATCCTGCCTGTGCTGGGTGGACCGGCAGCAGGTAAACAGCTCATTCCAGCAGAAGGAGTGGTCTGGGAGTGGACTCGACCGATGATGTCAGAATCACAGTTACACTCAGACAGGTCTGAGACAGGCGGCTTCCCACAGTCAGTCCCAGGTGAGTGGCTGCAGCACAGTGTGTTCTGGAGCTGAGCAGGACCTCTCCCTGCATGTGAGGACCCACTGAGCAGCCCGAGAGGATGGCTGGCCACTACAACCCTTACTCCAAGGTAAAGGTCTTTATCATTGGTAATAACTCGACTGTGAGACGTTCTCTGGGTTCATGTTCAGAAACTCTCGCCGTGTTCCACGTTACACAATGTCTCTGATAAGACTCGTCTCCTCGGACGATGTGTTAGTGTGTCAGATGTCAGAAGCGTCGGATTCAGACCCTTCACCATGTAAAAGGGCTCGACGCCTCATTACAAGTGAAATATGTTCAAATTGTTAGTGGAGCACTGAATCAGCCGGGTGCAGCTGTCACTGTACATCAGTACCAACTCCAGTACTTGTACTTTACTTGAAGATTTGCACTCCATGCGACTGTACACGTGTACCCTACTACACCTCAGAGGAATCCTTGTACTTTGTACTGCACTATGTTGATATGACCGCTCCTCTGTTTTTCATCCTGTTCCTGTCCAGTGAAAACCTCGTGTCTCAGTCTGGTGACTTGAACTTCATTTTTTTGTTAAGCATTAAATGTTGCTTTATGGGATTTTAACAGATTCTCCTACACAAACTACTACTACTACTACTACTGTTGTGTACAAGCCCTGGGATTAAAGCTGTTTGCTTTTTTAGCCTCCTGAAAAGTTTGACAGTGGTTAAAAAAGTGAAGTCATGTAGAAGCTGGTGCTCAGAGACTAAAACCAACTCGTCTTTATTTGAGAATATCTGTGATTGTTGTTGCTTGTGTTGTCGTGTCGTTGTTGTTGTGTTGTCGTGTCTATTGAAAGATTTAGCCACTTTTTCACTGTGCGTCATGTGTTTGTTTGATAAGTGGATTCACTGACTGGCCTCCAAGATTCACGTACACAAACCATCCACTGACTGAGTGAAGGTTCAGGTTATGGACTAACAACCAGTCGATTCATTCTGGTTTCAGTTTCCTACCTGTTGCTGCTTTTATAGTTTTCTGTGACAGTGAACAGCTATAGTTTGGCTCCGTCAGACAAACGGAGACATCTGAAGTGCTTCCTCAGGTTCTGGCGACTTGTGAAGCACATTTTCACTATTTTCTGACATTTTAGACACAAAACAGTAACTGAGAGAATAAAAAAAAAAAGCTGAGTTGCAGCTACAACCAGAACTTTTCTTCAGAGCCTCCCCTTCATGACGCTGATAAACTGATGTGTAATATCAGTGAAGGCCTCTTCGAAATAGCCTGGGACCCTTCTGCTTTAGCTGGGGACCTTTTGTGGGGTCCCGACCCTCATGTTGGGAACCGGTGGTGTGTGGGTACAGGAGAAACCTGGCTGCGGTCCAGGAAGCCGCCAATCAGACTGTGGAGAGCGCAGCGCTGTCAGGAAGTCCACTGTTTTTTCTCATTTTGGGACCGTTTGTGCGTTTTGGACGCTTTTTACCGGCGGCGGGTTTCAGCAGATCCACCGGCGATGCGCTCTCATAGTCGGAACAACACCTGCCCACACCAGGAAGGTGAAACCACACCGAGTAAAGTGGCCGAAACTCCGCCGTACACCTGCTACTTCCGCCGGGGACATGGGGCCTGGATGTGCTCACCTGGTTTAGAGGAAGACGCCCAGTAAAGAGTGTGGTGTGATCGTAATGGGAGCTCGACGGCGGCGGTAGCTTGTGCGTACAGAGAGGGACACCGAGCTGAAGATGTCTGTGAACGAGCTGTACACAAAGGTGAGTTTCTGTTCCACAGGCTCACCGAGCCCGTGCACCTGCGCGGTAGAGGCGGTTCACGGCTCAGACTGCATTCAGGGCTCCGTTTACCTTGTTTTGACCCCGCAGGCCTGTGGTACAGTGCTCATTCAACTTGACACGAACCAAACTCCATGTTAGGTCTCTGAAAGGGGGCGAGTCACCTGTTGTACCGGCCAGGTGACGTCCTCAGGCAGCGCGCACTGAAGAAAAGGCTGTATTTCTGTTTATCGTTGTAGAGGATTGTGCATGAGCCCAGTGTGTCATCAGATCTGTAACACGTCTGCTGCTGGCGAGTGGTCGAACGGTGTTGTTATTGGTGTGTGTGTGTGTGTTGTCAGTTGTTTCCGTGATACACGGTGGTAGTTTAACGATAAACAGGAACCCGAACCTGCCCTGTGTCGGATGGACTGATTTGCGTGTTTGTGACTCATGTGAAAGCAGATGTTGGATCAGGAACCAGCTGCGGTCTGTGTGCGCACTGCTCGGTTCTGGTTCTCTCTCACTTGCTCGGTTCTGGTTCTCTCTCACTTGCTCGGTTCTGGTTCTCTCTCACTTGCTCAGTATCAACCTGAGCTAACGCGTTAAAGTGTCACCGAGCTACCCCCTGGTTTATCGGTTAGTTAATCACCTGATGGACTGTGAAACCTCAGAAACGGCCACAGACTGCCCTGAGGCCCCTGAGTCTGGTTTTCAGAGCAGAGGTTCATAAACAGGTATTTCGGTATCAAACATGACACGGAAAACAGCTAATCCTCCAAAATGCCTGCGTTTTGCTTGAAAAGTGACAATGATCAAAATAGTTGCTCCATTTTCTTGATGAATGACGTAGCTCTGAACCGATTTGACCCCTGGAGTTAATCACAGGTTTACCTACTGAGCCAAACGTCAGTAAATATCGGTCAGCAGTAAACAGGACGTGAGCTGCTCATCGTCCGCAGGTTTTGATTCCTCGTGTCTAAAGCGCTGTCAGAGACAACAAGCTGGTCTCTGGGGAATCGGACAGTTTGTGCCCTTTGTGTGTGAGTGCTGTGAGGCAGCAGGACACACCTCAGGCTTTAAATAACTCCACCGTACTTTCCTCCTCTGTGCTCACAGTCGGTTCGGCTCCTCCTACGTCGGACTTTAGTCTTCAGCTCATTACGTCAGTGACCTGACCTCAGGCTCCACAGGAGAAACGGAGGCTGGGCTGTGCTTTGATTAGTAATCACGTCATTTTAGTGGCTTTAAAGTGAAGCTACTTTCTCCTGAAAGACACAGTAACATGAATCAGAAACACACAACAAAGCCACAAAACAAGAAGTTTGTAAGGTGTGTGTGACTAGGCCTGACACACACTGACACACACACTGTGCATCAGTGAATGAGCTGGTTATATGGGAAGTTGGACAGTGAGCTTCCCCGGTGATGATCAGTGGCAACACACTGAACTTGTGAAGCTGCGAGTTAACGACAATGAACTCAGTGAATCTGTCTGCGTCTTTACTGTGTAAATTAACATCAGCTCCCTAAAACTCCGACTGTTCAGCCCAGTGCTGCTGCAGCATTGTCAGCCTGTTGGGATCCACGACCACGTTTTATCAGCGTTTGTGTTGAAAATGTCAGAAGCTA